TTTAAGGAATTTAAAGGAATTTTAAGGAATTGCTACGAAAGAATGCCACCGTATTTTGTTGCTACAGAATGCTATAAACAGAAGAAACCCATTAAATATTTGAGCACCTTCACTCTAAAATACCTCTATCTACACAGAATTTCCTGACCCCTTTTTAAAGAGGCATTTCTGAAGGTCTTCGAATTTGGATGAACTTGGATGCCAATTCGGCGTGAATTTGCTGGAACAACATTTTATGGCAGAACCAGTTCTCATTGTTTTTGTGCATTTTAAAGCATGAGGCCCTATGCACAAAAGCTAGACCGCTTTAAAACTGCTGCACATTATCACATTATGAATTGGCACCCCGATGCATAAACGAGCAAGGAAGATCATGAAAAGAACCAAGGACCATGAACATAATTTGAAACAAATATGCACGGAAATTCGATATGATTTTGAAAAATGACAGGACATACAAGAAAAATGGAATGACTTGAAGGAAAAAGGGAAGGAAACTGAAGTGACAAGAGAGTGAATGAAAGGGACATGAAAGGAAGATGAGAAGGAAAATGAGACGAACGGAAAGGGAAACCAGAGGAACATCAGAAGGACATGAAAGAACAAAAGGAAAGGAGGGAAATTAAATAAGGTGAACGTAAAACAAAGATATGATTGACGGAAATAGAAGGAACATGGAAGGAAGTGAAAGGAAACTGACAGGAAACTGACAGGAGAATGAAAGGCATGAAAGGAATGTGAACACGAAAGAAAATGCTTTTGTATGAGTGTATGTGTTTTTTTTCTCAATATTCACACATATAAATTGTGACCACCATGGTGACCAAGGTCATGCATTCCGAATATTCTATCTGTGAGGATTTGGACATGGCATGCAGGGACAATGAAAGGATATGGATATGAACAGATAATGGAAGGACATGGAAGTAACGCGCATGAAAGGAAAGCGGAAGGACATGAAATAAACACAAATAAAGTAACGTAAAATGAAAGGAAGATAGCAGAACATCGGAAGAAATAAAGAATTGAAAAAACACATAAACATCCCCGTGGCAATTTCCACACTAGAAATGGATGACTTGTGCATAGTCTAAGCGAGATCCGTAATGTATTGGAATTTCAAAATTGGAGTCAGGTTAGTCATTTTATTGTTAAGATTGTTAAGGGGTTGGTCTGAGCATTTTATTGGCCAGGGAAATCCTGATGATTTTTGACATGTTAAAATTCCATTCTAATTTTATTGCAACAAATTGAGTGTTTGGAGCATTTTATTGCAGAATGGAACCAGTGCTTTTCGAGGATCTCTTTATATCAATTTTATTGGGCATGTCATTTTAGATCTGCGAATTTGAAGGAATTTGAAGGAATCCTAAGGAATTTTAAGGAATGTTGGGGAAATTTAAAGGAATTTGAAAGGAATTATAAGGAAATTCAAGGAATTTAGGGAGTTTTAAGGACTTTGAAGGAATCTTAGAGGAAGTTGAAGGAATTTTAAAGGAATTTGACGGAATTTGAAGGAATTTGAAAGATTTTCAAGGATTTCGAATGATTCTAAAGGATGTTAAAGGAATTTTCAGTTTTTTTTTAATTTAAAGGAATTTTAAGGAATCTTGAAGGAATTTTCAGGAATCTTAAAGGAATTTCAAGGAAGTAAGTTTAAGGAATTTGCAAGAATCTGAAAGGAATTTGACGGAATTTGAAAGATTTTTACGGATTTTAATAAGTTTAAAGGATTTTGAAGGAATCTTGATGAGTTTTTTTGATTTTTAAGGAATTTAAAATATTTTTAAGGAATTTTAAGGAATTGCTACGAAAGAATGCCACCGTATTTTGTTGCTACAGAATGCTATAAAAGAAGAACACCATTAAATATTTGAGCACCTTCACTCAAAAATACCTTTCTAAAAAGAATTTCCTGTCCCCTTTTTAAAGAGGCATTTCTGAAGGTCTTTGAATTTGGATGAACTTGGATGCCAATTCGACAGGAATTTGCTGGAACCGCATTTTATAGCAGAACCAGTTCTCATTGTTTTTGTGCATTTTAAAGCATGAGGCCCTATGCACAAAAGCTAGACCGCTTTAAAACTGCTGCACATTATCACATTATGAATTGGCACCCCGATGCATAAACGAGCAAGGAAGATCATGAAAAGAACTAAGGACCATGAACATAATTTGAAACGAACATGCGCGGAAATCCGACTTGATTTTGAAAAATGACAGGACATACAAGAAAAATGGAATGACTTGAAGGAAAAAGGGAAGGAAACTGAAGTGACAAGAGAGTAAAATGAAAGGGACATGAAAGGAAGATCAGAAAGAAAAGGAGACGAACAGAAAAGGAGCTTTATGGTTGAGTCTATCTATATATCTAGATACATCCTTTTGCTGATGTTGCAGTTGCTACGTTGTCAACCTCACTTTACATAGGTATGGTGCAATATTCAGGACATATTTGTACCCTCAGTGGAAGCACTTTACATAGGCATTGTGGCTATTTATGGCTATCTATACCCACTTTTTTGAAGCATTTTACATAGGTACGGCTTGTTGTTTTACCGGGGTCCGTGGAATATTCTATCTGTCTTTAAAGGTATGACAGAATTCTATCTGTGAGGATTTGGTGTTTAGTTCAAAATTTTGAATATTCTATCTGGTAGAAATTGACTATATCATATTTAATCTATACATATAATCAGATCACATGTGCAATTCTCACCCGATTCTTTGTACAGTTACTGTATTGCTTTAGTAATGGAATGGTGGGACAATCAACGACAATCATCGTTTTAGATTGTTTTAGTATCTAATTGTTACTAAAACAATCAATTAGAATTAGACAAAATGATTATTCCAATCCTTGGTAATTTTTGTCTAATTTGTTTTAGTAACTAATGATACAAATCCTGGGCGAATCATTAAAATCAATAATATGATTTGCCCAGGTCAGTAATTGATTCAATGCAGCTATCGCTGCTAGGAGCCCGCCTTTGATGAAGAATTGCAATGCTCCTGGGGCGACCGTGGTGGCGACCGTCCTGGTGGAAAATTACGGCCTGAACCGGGGATCGGATCATGGCGCAAAGAAAATGGTGATTTAACCACTATAAATGGTGATTTAATGGTGATTTAATGGTGATTTAATGGTTTAACAATGGGTTAACAATGGTGAATAATGGGATGATATGGGATTTATCCTCTGGTAAACTAACAGTTTGCTATTGAAGCCATGGCCATAGAAATAGCTATAATAGTTGATTTACCCAGCTATAAAATGGTGATTTTCCACAGTTATGTAAACGTTTACCAGAGGGTACATGCGTAAGTCATTGATAATGCGACATGATTGGCTACAATGATTATCATTACAATCATTGATTATCCAACTACCATTATTGGTATTGCAATTGGATAATCACTGATGGAAGCTTTCATTGATGGAACCTTTACTGGAATTTGGACATAATTGTATCAAGTGGTATGGCATTTGTATGAATTATTCATAATTATTCAATTGGCGTAATGTCACCTACTCTCTGGGACTTCGTATTTGTATCGATTGGTAGGGCCATATTTACGTTTTCCGAATTGTGGTCAAGCCCACCATGGTGTTGCAGAGTTGCTCTCAAAGCACACAAGGGCTGGCGAACTTGGTTCAAACAACCTCAACCCCTGATTAAAAAACTGTTGGCCTTCAATTTGGGAGGTACGATTTTCATAGCAGATTAGCACTACAGTATTTGGAGAGAACACCCTAGTGAACCAACTACAGTAGGGTCTAGAATCCTGGTGGCCATTTCCTCTGTAAAATGGTCGCGCCCGGGTACCCTGCTAAACCATTTTTTCAGGCACTATAAAATGGAAAACAGAATGTTTGGAGTGGTTCTTGAATGGTTTATCAGGATATGTTTTATCTATTTTCTTTTTGGGCAAGTACTACTTGATAGAGGCCACTTGGGGTCTTGCTGCAGGAAAACTGTTCATTTAGTAGGGGTGGCACAGGCCTCCGCTTTATAGCACAATGTTGGCTGTGCAATGTTGTGGTGCTATTTTATAGATAGGGTGTTTCCATGTGTGGTGTGGCTGAACTTCCACTTTATAGAGTGCCCGTTTGCATTGTTTTTTTCAAGGTTTTGTAAGAGACTGGCTTGGGCAAGGAGCATTTTATAGAGATGATTGAGATGATTTTGGAAGCCTTGCTGAGAAGTGTGGTTTGCAAAAATGAAACCTGGGTACCTTCCAGTTTATAGGCCTGTGATTCTACAAGTGTACCCCAAGGAGTACTTTATAGAGGGAGTACCCCCCTGACAATCCATTTTAGCATTATAAAATGGCAGCTACCCAGGTTCCACCCCTAATTTACACATGGATGGCCTAGAGATGTCTAAAGTTTAGTTTCTGGGTTGACTCAGTAAACCGGCAAATGCGTACGGCAAAGCAAGAACCGAGTCCCGTGGCAATAACCGGGGATCTCTCCATGGGGCAACTGAGGCCATCGCCGGCCTTCCTGTTGGGATTTCTATGCCAAGGCCGCCTTCGCCTGGGCTCAGCGGGACTTTGGGACTTTGGCACTTTGGGACCGAGCTTTTTGGGCTTGAAATTGCCAAGGACATCCAAGGACTTTTTCCATTTTGAGCGGGAGAAATCAGAATGAGAAGGACCCCACTGCGACGTCACTGGAATGATCAGGATGGCGGTAAGTATCAGCAAATGGCCAAACATGTGAAGCTTGTGAATCGTTATAACTTATCCAATATAATGTGGGGAAAACATGGTAAAACAATCATAAACCATCCCCCAGTCATCACCATAAATAGGTGGGATAAAGAGTTAAAGTCTCTAGGACCCTAATTAAACCCTATAGAAACCCCTAAAAAAGACATCAGAAAAGTCATTCTCTATTGCTTGATTCGGAGTTCACATTTCTGTTCCTTTTTTTTCGAGTTATATTGTGCGATTTTATAAGAAGATTGTGGTCAAGGGCTCAAGAGATCGCCTTGGGTCCCGGATGGTCCCGGCATGGCCGCATGGCCACCTTTCGCTTCGTCCACTGCGCGACGGGCCTGCCGTTGCACATCGATGGCTGCGGCGACAAGCTGGCCTCGGTGCGCTATGGAGACTGTTCAGTGGCGGCAGTGGGGGGATTTTGCCAAGGAATTCCCTCCGGATCTTCCGAAGGACATCGGTTTTAAGTGTTTTTTTCTGAGCAACTGGGATAAAAAATATGTAAAATGACCGGCCAAAACTCAATTAGGGCCAACACTTTCTGGGCAGGGTGACCTGACAGCGATGGAAAGAGAGAACAAGAAAGTGCTTTGGAAATTGGATGTTTGGACCCGAGAATGACGATGACAGGGTTGAAGTTGAGACCATTGCTGAGTGACGTTTCATGGTTCCGAGAACACCTCAGGTCGTGACGACTTCTCGCTTTTCTGGCTGGAGCCTGCAGGGGATGGAACTGGAGAAAGTCCAGTGTTCCTCCGGTCCTTGGCCATGGGGCTGCCACTGCACATCAATGGCCCCTGAGCTGAAGATGATAGGCCGATAGGCCAGGGATTCTATGGAAATTCAATCAGCGATGATAAGATAGTGGAGACAATCACTGCGGATTTTCCATGATTTTCCACCTAGAGTGGGGTAGGATGAAATGACCTCCCCTGGAATCTAAACGATGGAAAGTCCTCATCTTGTAACAGGAAATCATCATCAGAAAGTTGGGATTTCCGGCGGGCCATGGTTTGGTATTCCATGAAGGTGCGTGGTTCAAAATTAAGATTGTTACCCTCGATATTCCCATATAATCCCATAATTCCCTCATAATTCTCCATGTCCATTTTGGGTTTTCACCACAGCAAGCCAAAAAAACAAGTGAAGCATTATAATTACTAAATGTTATCTAAATGTTCTAAACCAAACTTAGCTACCTCAATTTGTTCATCCTTCAACAAAAATTGCAAATTTTCATCCTTCAACAGTTATTTTAACAAAAATGGTTAATTAACTCACATTGAAAATTGCATTTTTAGCTCACATTGAAAGCCTAAAAAGCTCTGCTTCCTAAGATGGAGAGAGAAACTCCCATTGAAAATCACCACTGGTTGGTGGTTTGGAACATGAATGTTATTTTCCCCAACCAGATTGGGGATGATGATCCAATCTGACTGAGGCCTAGGAGATGCCTTAGCCTCCGTACGCTGCGGCGACTGCTGGGACGACTTCTCCAAGTTTCACCTGGCACCAGAGGGTACGGAGCTGCAGATCCGACACCTGGCAAGGGCTGAAGATGATGAGTTTGGGGAAAATGCCATGATTTTTATGGCTGGATATGGCTGGAAAAATGCTGGACATTTACTGTAGAATATGTGGAGATGGTTTTTTTTGATGACTTGAGGTTTACTTTGGTCCGCTTTCTTTAGCTTCGTTGACTTGAGGTTTTTCTCCCAGATTTTTGGTTGCGGAATTGCCGTTGTTGATTGGTCAACTCAAGTTACACGTCCATGTTTCTTCATGATTAACTCCAACTTTGAAATGGTTGAATCGGTCAGTTTTCATGGTACTCATTGCCCATTCTGACTTTCAGCACTCCACTACGCTCAGGGAATGTGGCCACAGGCCTTCCGCTACATATCGCCGGCTGCGACAAGTTGGCCTCAACGCGTTTCGCGGAGTTCCGCCCGGAGGATGTTACCTTCAGACTCTCAGCGATGGGTGGAACATGTTGGAACCATCAGCTGGAGGTATGTCAAAACCAACAGTTCTGAAATGTACAAAAGATTAAAAAAGATCGAAAAGTCAAGAAGCACCATATTTACAAAACGATATCAATCGAAACTTCATTTCCAATTTATGGCAGGGTTTTGCCATGGGTTTCAGCTGTTTCCCATGGTTTTCCCATGGATTCCCATGGATTCCCAGGAATGGAATGGTCCCTTCACCCAGCCAAGTGCCTACTGCTCACGTCTCACGGCCCGCTACATGTGGACGGCCTGGGTGACGGCTTGGCTTCGGTGCGCTTCGGGGAGGCGATGGATCCTTTTTGCCACTTCCACTTCGAGGATGGGAAGCTTCGAAACGTGCCTTGATTTGGTTTGAAAAATGGAAAATGATTGGTGGATATTGGTGGTTCTCTTTGTATTCAGAATTTAACTTAAGAATAAGTTCTGTTGAGTCAATTCTGTTTGTAAGATGGTTTATGTGGTTTATAGTCTTTTGCCAACTATCAAAAGTGTTGAATTGTTGGGGGAGAAATGAACGTGATGCACCTTGAAACACGAGTCACAGCTAAGTCCATTCTGTTTGCTGTTTTGAATTGAAGGAGGCAGTGAAGCCATATTACGCAGCTTACGCTCCCACCAAACCCCAAGTTGTTTGAAGCTAGTTCCTCAGATCTCCATTTGATGAATATTTAGATTTACTTCATCGTATTCATCATACTCTGTTGGTATAAATTTGCCCTGGTGATGTTTAATTTCCACGTGTTGAATTTCAAAAAAAATTGCTTATATCCTCCAGATCCAAATTCCCACGGAAATTCCCTCAGACCCGCCTCGCCGCAGGTCGGCTCCAACCGTTTTCTGGGCGTCGCGGACAAAGGCGGCCCAGGCGCTCCGCAGCTGACGCTGGAGGGTGAGGTGGTAGCCTTCCAACTCCGAGCAGCTGAGGTGCTAAACCCAAGGAGAAATGGAGATTTCATGGGAGATTTCAATGGGGTTTACCATGAACATGAACTCATATGAACTCATGAATTACTCATGAAAGATCCGTTAAATCCGGGTAACCATCCGGGTGGATATCATGTTTGGATAAAATATAGATTCCATGGGGATATTATTGGGAAGTATTATTGTTTTTTATGGTTTTAAGGGATTGATGGGTATATACTGCAACCAACCCAAAATGAGGATGATAACCATCAGGGATTAGAATTTAGCTTGTTTAGGGATGTCCATTTGACCCATTTTGACCCCACAAATTCCATCAGTAAATCCGTTGAAAACCATGAGCGCATCCATGAAGACATCAGTAGAATACCTCAACATCAATTCCAATCCATCATACTTTCTAATCTTTCTATATCATTTGATATCATGTGATATCATTTCATCATACCCTCTTATAAACTAACATAACTATGGAAAATCACCATTGTGAAGAAGCAAATCAACTATAAATGGGCAATTTTCAATTGCTATGTTAGTCATTACCGGAGGGTATGTTTTCACATTTTTAATATGGATTTTGCCAGGTGCCTTGACCGACGCCAAGGTGCCTGGCACCTTCCTTCTGACTACGCCGAGGGGCGCTGTGGCCGTGGGCCCCGATGCCATGGCCACGCTAAGCGACGGGAGGAACTCAGCCTTCTGGCTACCGCACATGGTGGAGAAGGCCGAGGACAGGGCTGTGGCCGTGCCGATTCCCCCGGGTTTCTTGGTCTCCGGGTGATGGAAAAAAACCTGGTGGTGTCCATGACCCATGACATGTTGATTAGTTGGTTTATAAAGCCATCTAGCTATAGATGCAATAGATATATCTACTACAATTTTATGGCAGGTGGCCCACTTACCAACTTATAGCTAAGTAATGCGAAGTAGGGGGCACCACATTGTATGGGTGTGTTTGACATGATGGACGCCCCCAACAGTCCATTGCAATAGGGAAGATTCTCATCCACCAATAGATTTTGGGATGCCCTATTTTCAGCCAACCCCTTAATTATTTGATCAGTTATATCATTGTGGCTTATCTTGGCATTGTTTCTCAAAATATTGTCATGTTTATTTGGTGTTGTTTGTTTCTTCAAGCATGCAAGCAGCTGCAAGCAACGTCAAAGAAATCTCAAAGGGACCCTCATTCCGTGAGATTTGTTTGATTTTGCAGATTTTGCTGCAGCTACTGGCAGCTGTGCTGTGCAGAGATCCCGATCGAGTTGAGACCAGGTTGGTTGATTGGGTCATCCCCAAGCGGTGATTTGGCATCCAAACCTGCCCATCGATTTCTTTCCAAAAGGGCATCACTAGCTGGTGGTTTCAAATAGTTACTCTTTTTTTGCAGGAAAGTAGAACAGGGATGCTTGATTGAAATGACCCAGTCATCTTTTTTGGGATGGGTGGTTGATGGCTCAACCACCAAACAGAGTTCCTAGACCTTCCAAGGTTATGAATTGGTTGGCCCAAATCCCCTGGGCAGTGGCGGCTTCGGTGTAGTGCACTGCTGCCGCTCTCTGCTGGACCGACGCCTCTGTGCGGTGAAAACCATCTTCCAGCCCTTTGCGGAGGATGAGGCCGGCATCATCCCAGGGTTATTGGGATGATTTCAGGGAACATTGACATTTGAAGCCATGGTTTTTTGGTACAACCCAATTTATAGGTTTCCTGCAGACTTTGCAAAGGAACAAATCCAATGGCGTGGCTGCATTTCTGATAGGCACACCAAAAATAATACATGCATATAACTAGATAACCAAAAAACAGTGGTGATTAGCATGACTTTGCAGCCACGGCCAGCTTCTTGTGCTGGGCAGGGGAATGTGAGAAGAGAGTTGGAAAATCTGGCTGCTCTCCCACCACATCCCAACTTGATTCGATGCTTGGTGTATTGTCCGGATGTTTCAAGTATGTTGCCCCACTGAAGTTGCAGCGATGGAATCGTATGGAATCTGCACAGATGTTGGCTCCCTCTGGAAAACCCCTGGTGGAACAAAGAAACGGGGAATGGTTTCTTGGTTCGAGCCGCCTGACTTGGCGATTTTTCACCACCCCAAGTCAACATGACAACCTCTGTAAAATGGCACATGAAAATCGGTGTTGGCTATCTTTTCCCCTTGGTTCCGTGCTGGTTCCACAAGCCCAATGGCTACGATCCCACTCCCCAAGCAAGTGAGCACCGGCCAACCATTTTCTAGTAGTGTATCAGCCACAGGATATTACACCAGTTTCCTCGATGACCGTGGCATTCTGCACATCGTCACGGAGTTTTTAGATTCAGTGAAACTCTTCAAACTGATCAGCGAATCCAAGAAAAATCCGCAAGAGGCTGAAGATGTTCGGTGCCTGGGATTTCGAAAATGCGGGGTTTGATATCTTGCGGTGCCTGAACATCTTGGGAGTCAATGGGAAAGAACATAACATGTTGGCTTCAGAAATTCAGAGATACAGTAAAAGGATGTAAAAGGTTTGTTCATCCCACAAATAATTCAAATATATGAGGAATGTACCCCAGGTACGCTGCATAATTTCACCAACCTTTCACCAAATGCAACTGGGATATATCAGGACATAACCCCACTGCAAATTGAATGGGGTTGATTCTCGGGCTCACACCCAGCAGGATTCCATTCTGGTAAGGGATAAAAATTATCATCCCAAAATTTCTCGCTATAGAGAAAACCGTTGGAAACCAGGAGGTTTAAGGTCCAAAGCATGCGCAACTCACAGGTCACTCGCAACTCACAGGTCACTCGCAACTCACAGGTCACTAAGGTCTTGCAATTTCATTTCCATTGGAAACTCTAGTACTCCAAACAAGGGTCTCGTCATCAGGGAACTACTCCAGTAATTCCATGGCTATGTGATATTATATACCAGAGGATGGAGTTCTTCTTTGTTTCCTTATCCGCTGGTAATTTAACATAGCTATGGAAAATGGTTGAAAATGAACCATTAATAGATGATGCATGATGGTTTACCGGGTTTACCATGGTTTACCTACAAAAAAAAGTGATGTTCCAGCTAGCTTTGGTAAAATCCGCTTCATTCCGCTTCGGCCCAATCGGCCCCAGGTCCTGGTTCTCCCAGCTCTATTCGGGCTTGGCGTGCATGCACGCCATCCAGATGATCCATCGGGACCTCCACGCAGAGAACGTCTTGATTTTGACGGACGCAACGGGACAGGTGGGGAATCGGAGATGAAAACCGCTGCGCAGCTGGGGGTCGGAGGCCATGATTTTTTGGTGGTATCCAAATGTTTGACCCCATAATAGCCATGTTTTTACGTGGAGCGTTGTGCCCCTAGATTAGATTCGAGAATTTGATAGAATTTGAGCAAACCTTACTGACAATGTTTTTTCAAGTTTTCGGTACCATCCCTCGTGAGACCCTGCGTTTTTTTCAGGTGTCTACGAGACCGGGGGCTGTGAAAATCATTGACGTGGGACTTGCCAAGATCTACGATTTCCTGGCTCCTTCAACGATGTCCGTGACAGGCTGGTGCGGGAGGTTGATCTGATCATTCTGTTCCTAGAATGATGCCCTCCGGTTGTTTAACATAGCTCTGGAAAATATCCGCTCTATATATATAATGTGTGCCTCTGATTAGTGTGAGGGCCCCCCCCCTAAACAATTTGAGGATACTCTATAACTCGCACTTTTTTTTGCCCCCCCCTCAACATTTTTTTGGTCAATCAACTTAAGAAAGGATTTCAATTTACTTTCAATTGATTTCAATTTACTTTCAATTGATTTCAATTTACTTTTAATTAATTTAATTACTTTTAATTTACTTTCAGTTTACTTTCAATTTACTTTCAATTGATTTCAATTTACTTTCAATTGATTTCAATTTACTTTCAATTGATTTCAATTTACTTTTAATTTACATTCAATTTACTTTTAATTTACTTTTAATTTACTTTCAATTGATTTCAATTTACTTTCAATTGATTTCAATTTACTTTCAATTGATTTCAATTTACTTTTAATTTACTTTCAATTTACTTTTAATTTACTTTCAAATTACTTTCAATTTACGTTCAATTGATTTCAATTTACTTTCAATTGATTTCAATTTACTTTTAATTATATATATATATGTATTTATACAATTACATAATTATATTGCTGCATACCTATCAAAAATTGTGATTTTCCATAGCTACATTCAATAATGGTAGTTTTCGTATGTTTTGGCGTTTATCTTCTCCCAGACTGTTATAGATAATGTTTCTTCCATGTTTTTGCAGGTGTCCATCTGTTCTCTCATTTTGGGGGTTGCTATCTATATATATATATCTATATATATATATATACATACATACATACATACATACATACATATTATATTGTTATATATATATACACGCATATTTTTGGAATCCAAGCAGGGCCAAGAACAGCCATCAGGAAATCGGCCACTAGGCACCGCAATCATTGGGGTTTGTCTGAAAATAGGGCTTTCCAATGCATAGTCATCATGGTAGTATCAGGGCATGCGGCATCCAGTTTTAGACAAACCCGAATATCATATAGTTATATATATATATGTCATATATGTCCCCATTATGTCCCCATTATATACCCATATAATAATATGTATATATATATATATTATGTATATATATATATCCAGTCCCAAATATACCACTTGATATACCCTCCAGTAATCAAACATAGCAATGGGAAATCAACTATAGATGGGCATTAAATGGGAAAACTCATCTATAAATGAGGATGTTCCATTGCTATGTTTGATTGCAAGGTGATATATCCCAAGTTTAGACGTTGGACAAATCAACAACTGGCTAGTTAGATCCCATATTCTATCCCATGTTACACTTCATATATTACATCCCCTTCCATATCCTGATTCCTGTCAAAGCTCCCAGCAGTTAAACCTCCTTCCCTGGGCCAGGTGTGGGTCCTGCTTGGTATTTCAGCCCGGAACGTCGTCGCGGCGAAGCTTTCAACCACTTGGATGACGTTTGGGCTGCTGGATGTATGATGGCCGAGCTGGTCATTGGCCAAGGTGCGAGATGTAGAGATGTTTTTTCTCAGGGGAATTGATGGGGACATCATGGGGATAAAAACTAACTAGCAACAATAGTGGGATAATGTGGGATACAAATGTATTATGTTATAATATATTGATATATATATATACATGTATAATGATGATGATTGGGGCTGGCTGGGAAGCCTCCGAGAAACGGAAGTTTCAATGGGAAAATATTCTAGAAGTTTGGGTTATGTTCCTGGCAGGCATGTTTGATTACCAGAGGGTGAGTTGTTTTAGAACCCATATTTCACTAGAGTTTATGATAGAGATATATCTATGCTAAATGATCTTGATGGGGTTGTAAACCAACTTAAAACTCGGGGACCATCTTAGATAATTTGAAACAGAAGTAGGTCGGGTACCTGGGATACCAAAGTAGGAAATGATACATGAACATGGCAACACCCAAAGTTGTTTTGAGGTGATGAAATTATGAAATCCTCAGTAATTTTGACCACAACTCACGTGATCTTTCTGTTGATAAACATGCAATCCACATTTTTGCGGCTCCAGCACCCAACCTTTGCTGGCAAATTTCGGTTTGATAAGATCCCCCAGAATCACTGCGTCAGAAACTTTCTACTTTCTGAACCGAGAACTCTCCGGCAGGCGCCGGCAGGGCCCATTCCTTGTACCATATGCTAACATCATTCCGCTATAAATCCCCATGTTTGTTGCTTCACTCATGTTCCACTGGTGAAATCCCCACTGCAGGTCGTTACATCCAGAAACATCCTGGGCACGGCCCCGGCGGCATCGACTTCTCCCTGTCCCCCACTGCCCTGGCGGCGCTGCTGCGCCACTGCCAGGGCTCCACCCTGGCGCCGGCCGTGGCGCTGGCGCTGGCGCCGCAGCGTGAGCTGCGCGGCACCGCGCAGCAGGTGCTGGAGGAGTTGAACCTTCGCGATGCGGAAAAAGTGGGACCTGGGTTTGATGGTTTGTTTCAGTTGATTCTGGTGATTTCTCCTAGCAAATTGATGTGGTAATCCTGGTAGAATGGGGATATATTTTGATACCTGGGCTTGTTTGAGAACATAGTCTGAACGGGGGGTAACGTTATCAGGCCAGAGAAATGTTGCCCTGGATTTCTGAAGGTGATCCTCTATTTCCCCAGTAGGAAATCCGGCTATTTTTGCATGGCAATCCATTTGAGATCAGCTGATGAAAGATATGAAATATGAAAGCAATGTGCGCATCTGCGCATGTCGGGGGTCATTCGCATGGCCACCTAGTGCCTCTTTTTCCAGATTACAGTATGTTCCATGCGTCATTGGCAAATATGGCCCAAATGAATCCAGGTGGCTCAGATGTTTGGAATAAACTGAAATCCCGAACTAATAGCAAGAAAGCAAGGTTCTATGGGCCGTGGAGCCAGTTATATAAGTATTCATAATCGGGTTATAAGTATCTAATAAGTATCTATATAAGTTATAGTCCATTCTATACCCAGTTAAGGGGTTGCCAACCAGTTACCAACCAGTCCATGACCCATCTCTAAGTAGAGTTGAACCTGGGATGAAGCAGCTGTGTGCCGCTCCCGTTTCAGGTAATATTAGGGCAGAGTGCCATGGAAATACCCTGGAAGTTGCAGGGGAATTTGCATGGTACATTGACCAAATTGATTTTGGCATGTGACACCTAGAATTACTAGACACATTCATAGTGTTCGCTGTTCTTGTCGGTTGCATGTTAGGCTTCTGAGCCATCCCATGCTATATATGAAACACGTTCCAATCGAAACCCTAATTTAGAATTGGATCTATTCATGCATTGGGGTCCCCTATTGGAGGTATCGAATAAGATCATGGGGTTGGATTGTTCCCGTTAAAAATAACTTGATACAGTATATATATATATATATATCAGTATGATCAACCATTTACATCCATTTACCAAACTTACCCTCTGGTAAACTAACATAACTATGGAAAATCACCATTTTTAATGGGAAAACTCACTATAAATTGCCATTTTCAATAGCTATGTTAAATTACCAGAGGGTATTCAATCTTATTCATCACCACCATGATCGCCCAATGGAAGGTTCTGAAGCCTGCCAGCATCCCGGGCCGATCCTTTGTGGAACTCTACCTGCCCCAGGCACAGATGGACTTCACTGATTAAATTTAAATGAATCAAGATAATTAGATACATTATAATAGTAGTGAAGTAGTAGCCCACTATTAATCATTATACTATTCAAGATACTATTATAATCACTATTATAATTAATGCACAATGGGATCAAAGTTCATTATAATAGTAGTAGCCCACTATTAATCTGGGTAAATTATAACGACCTCACTGCGACTGAACCCTGGAAATCATGGTTAATAAGGGAAATCATCCCCAAATGGCCTTAATTCAGGTCAGTGAAATCCGCCCGCACCGAAGGTGCTGGGGCGTGATCGTCCGGATGGCACTCGTAAAAGGTTACAGGTTTACCTGGAGGGGGGGGCATTTTCTCGGCCAAAACCTCCTGTTTTTGATAGGTCGTGACGCTCGCCTTCAAAAAACACTGTAAAAAACAGTACGGAAGACACCTGTTCGTGAACGCGCCCGTCCAAAATCGGCAAGCGAAAAGTGAAAAAAAACCGTGTTTTTCAACTTTTTGACCTCAATTTTTTGGTTTGCAACATCTTTTTTTGCGGTTCCGCAGGTGGCCGGGCCCGGAGGCGGATTTTTGAGTTTTTGGACCCGTTTTCGGACTGATTTTCGTCGTTTTGTGATAGCAGAAACACTGGTTTTTACAGTGTTTTTCTGTTTTCTGCATGCTTGACGGCTAGCTTCAAAACTTCCAAAAACCTCGTAAATTACGCTGTTTTATGTTACGGTGTGAATGAAAACATCGTAAATACCAGTGTTTTTTGACGTTGGTTAAAAAAACACTGTAAATTACAGTGTTTTTGGCCACCTGACCCTCAAAAACCATGGTATTTGCAGTGGTTTCTGCTTCTCACCGCGCAAAAACACTGTAAATAACAGCAATTTCGCCGTTTTTTCATGTTTTTCGTTATTTTTTGAACTGCGTTGGTCCGCTATACATGGCTATCAAATTCTTCGCGTTTTTTTTTTCCGACAATCAGTACTTTCGGATGTTTTTGGTCTCAATGGCCGACATCATTGGCAGTTACGAGCGGTCGCGAAGGTGTGAGAACAACATCGTTCAAACCGTGGCGGCCGCACAGGGGTTCTTGTCGCGGAGCGACGGCAATAGAAGAGAACAATGGCAGTAGAAGAGAACGATGCGGTGCGGGCGGTTGCCGTCGCGAAGCGACGTGAATATTATAATTTACCCAGATTGATCCCTAATAAGATAGTCCATTATAAATCATGTATCAGATGATGATGGTGGATATCTCATGATATATCATCCCTTTTTGGTGGATTCTCTAAGAATGATATGACCTAATTATTAATAATCCACTAGGTTATATCATTCACTTCCACAGAGAATCCACTATAGGATCTATAGGGATAATCCACCTAATTATTAACCCACAGATTCTTAGGTTATATCCCTGATTATCATGATATTAACCCATTAGAAATCCACAGATCCCCATCCACTTCCAGGAGGTGCATCTGGTGGTGAGCCACTCGTGGCTCGAGGCCTTCGAGGATTTGGTCCTCTCATTGCAGCGCCACGCCAGCCACGGGGCTCGCGAAGGCCCACGCGGAAGGGGAAGGGATGGAGTTCACCCGGGGGAAAGGGGAAAAACATGAAAAAAACACCATCCAACATGACTTTATATGAGTTTCATGGATTTTATATATGGTTTTATCATATATAGTTTTTATCGATTTAAATTGGGTTTGTTGTTGGGATCAACCATCTTTTTTGGGGGTAGATTCGGATCTAAACCAAGGAAAATTCGGGATTTATGCGACATGTTTGTTTGTGTGATCAAACGCCAGGAGTTTCACCAAGAGAATTAGCAACACATGTTCTAGATTGTTCTAGTAAGCAGCAAAGGACAGGTCTTAACTAGCTGAACTAGGGATGAAATCACCGTCGAATGGGGATATTGCCAAGATAGCTGGCCGACTGATCAGCCATGATACTGGCTGGCCATTTGGGCTTTTCAACTGCTTGAATGGTGAGGGCGGGGCTTTGCAGAAGCTGGGTTCATTTGAGCAAATCTCAAGCTGAGGGCTAGTTGCCTACTGCCAGGGTCAAGTGGCTAGGAGATTCGCCATCTCCGCCAGCAAACCAAGAAAATACCGACCAATTCAACCCCAGAATTTGCAATGTATACATCTACACCTCGAACGGAATCTCATATTGATATTTTCTTGTTCAAATGCTCAAGATGTTCAAGCCCAAACCTATTTTCCCAGAAGTTTTCTGCAGCATTCAAAACCCAGCCATCCCCAAAAGCCAAATCCCCAAACCTTCAAAAAGCTGCGAAGTCCAGGCCTGGAGAAGATGATTCAGCCCACGCCGTGCCCATGGGGCTACTGGCTGAGCCTCCTCTCCACGGGTCCCGCGGAAGTGCCCGAAGGGCAGATGGCGGCAGCCATGGAGACGGCTCAGCAGTTTCTGATCGACGCTGGGCTGTTGAGAGGTTGCATCTAACCTGAGATTCTGGTCATTTTTAGCCTTAACCATCCAATTTTATCCAATTTTGGTGGGTATAACATAGCATAACCATTTTGGCCTACCTATACCTAGATGGCAGCAGAAGACCCAAAATGCACGAAAATGAAGTGTCTAGAAATGTTGTGAATAGGAAGACGATGATCTGCAAGGGGAAGCTTGCATAGTATCATGTCGAAGACCTGCACAGCAGAGAACGGATGGAAACTGCTAAGAAACTGACGTCAATTAACAGGGCAGTTTATGTAAGAATTATATTATACATAAATTTACAATAATTTACATAGTTTCCGAGCAATTTCCCCACAATTCGTCATCTTGAGCATTCGGACAAGCAACCCTGGTAATGAAAGTGCATACTAGTAATTAGTCAACAGTGAATGATGAATGACTCATCGGCTAAAGTTCCATCCTCGATTATGATCTGAGCCTAGCGGACACGTGGCTTACCCTCTCTCTGAAAGTAGCCATTTTCGGGGATGATACCTGAATCTGAAATCCTTCCCGCTACCGGCTGAGTTTGGCAAATCACTTCAATTTGCTGACCCAAACTTCTTCATACTTGACCCCCCAAAAAGAAAATAAAATACTTACAGTTTAGAGGTCCCTTCCCAGATTTTAAGACTCCCATTGTCATTCTCCAAGTCACCTCCTAGGCCTGGGATGATGCGGGCAGATGGTCGACGCGACTTTGGTGTTTGCATCCTGGCCTTGAGTTCCCACCAATTTTGGCAGAAACTCTGGCAATTTTTGAGCAAAACACTGGGAATCTATATGAATTTCTCAGGTTTATGTTAGAAATCCTGGTAGAATACTTTTTCACATCCAAAAATCCAAAAAATATTAAACGTGAGCTGTTGGCGTTGTTTCACAGCAGGTATGAGCTTCTGACGGCCACCAAGTGTGAGAAACCCATCAGCGTCACGTGCCGCAGCGGGGTTTTGGGTCACGGCCCGGCCCTGGCAGAGCAGTCCAGACGCGTCGCGCGGCGGTTGATCAGCAGCGATCCCCGATGCGCGGTGGATGACCTGAAAGCGTTGCGGGAAACGTTGGGGGAGGCTGGATTTCAGGCACCTGGGCAAGGAAAATGGTTGTTTCGTTGGGTTGTTTGCATCCCTAGATGTGCACAATGTTACCATGGGCGATATTGCTTCCAACTGATTTCGGTTGAAAAGGCGCTGGATCGGGCGCTGTTGGCAGCTGCTGCCCCTTTGCTGTGCATTAGCTGCACTTCCCCAATGGAACTCCAGCAGAGCAGCGATCGCTTCCAGCCACTGATGGATGAGACTCGGCCTGTTATGGGATTTTTTGGTAGAGTGTCTGGGGCATCTATCACAAACTTAATATTGAATGGAAAATGTAGATGCATCTATCAAATAGCATATGTTCCATGGGATGTAGGTGGACTTATATGGTTATTTGATGCTATTTGAATGGAATCGGAGAGAATTTTTTGCATCAAATCCATGTGGTACCCACGGAGTTCCAGAGCATTGCTATTTCACAGATGTTTGATTCCTTTTGACCTTGATTTGGACTTCCAAACTCAAACAAAATTTCCGTATTTTTCTTTTCAGGGGCCATCTATAAGCTGAAACATGGAAAAAGATCATCCCTCCAATTTGTTGTTTGTATATGTGTGTATGCAGGTCCATCCTTTCCACATCCAAATCGCAATAGGTCATCATGATTTCTCTAAATCTCGATGCCTCTATCTCTTCAAATCTCCAAGTTTTCCATCTATGTTTGGTGCTAAAATGTGCTCAACATGTCATGGTCCTGCCATCCCCAGCCGCCCAGGCCCTGCCCCCATGGCCTCGTTGCGTCCTCCTCCAAGCGCCCTTGGGCCACGGCGCCCTGGCCGCCGTGGCCGCCGCGCTGCGGCGGCGCCTGGCGACGACGGAGGCGCCGACGCTGACGGTGGAGATGTGCTGCGCGGTGCTGGCAGATCTGATGGAAAACAAACGGCCAGGACGCGACGTTGGGAAGGGGGAGGTCATAGTTGAGGCTTGAGAAGGTATTAAAGACATTTAAAGACTATATTATATTCATTTTCCATGAAAAAAATTGATAAAAATGGGAGATGACTGATATTAAGCATCCAAAAATGGTATATAACTGATTTCAACCATCAAAAATTAGGAGGGGCTGGGAACTACCAGGAAAGCGTTTGAAAACGAGCGTTCACCATCAACATCAAGCTCTCCGCATACCTAAGTGGAACTCAATTTTTTGGGGGGGTATAACCCTGCAAAATTGGGATGTAACCATCAAGAATGGGAATATCAGCAAGCTCAGATCTAGCTAAATATATAGCCAAGTTATGCCAAGTTGACTTATACTTAACTTAGTGGGGCCTTACCTTGCAGGTACCATCATCATGGAAAGATATGAAAAGTGGAACTGCAAGAATGCACATGAACGACAGTCCCTTCAATGGGGATTTACCATGAATTATAATGATTTATCCCTAAGTTATGGGCTTTTAGGTTGGAGTTTCAACCACTTAAACTCTAGACATGTTTTTTTTCAACAGCAACATCTAGTGAATTCACCATCACTAGGGAGTTGGGTAGGCTCGTGGAACTTCATGGTTGGGCTGGTGGTAACTTAGGTATGGTTATGTATGGTTTGATCGATGATGATGATGATGACTGCTGATGATAAGTTTTCTTGATCACAATTGGGACAGCTGGGTGGGGTGGGATTGGTTTCCCTTGTTGATGGCTGCTGGTTGTTGATGATGGTTCGTGTCTTATCCAGTCATGGACAAAATGCGAGGGGCATGGGTTTATGTTTCAATCAGCGCTGGCCCTTCAAATCCCTTCAAGCTGGTGGCTGTTGAATTGAGCTTTGTGATGTTCTCCTGCAGAATTCTTGTCATATTTTGATTGCGGGATTGAGCCGACCTGGCAGCCTGTTGTGGTGCCAACAACCAAGCCTTTGGATGAACATTTTCAATCAACGTGTGCGAGGCCCAAAGTTTGGACAGGCCCATGTTCTACTGAGATTCTACTGCCCAATAAGAATTTGAATGAAATACAAGACAAAAAGGTACACAAAGTGCAAATGCCAGCTCCAAGATAATTTTCGACGGTTAAAAATGTGCTGCACCGGTTTATATTGTGACTTCGACTCGGAAAATCTCCCAGCTGGGTAGGAGAAGAGGATTTACTGAAGCTTTGGTTCGATTTCACCATGGGTGACATCGACTTGAAGGTAGGGATCAACGCATTTTTTCCAAAAACGATCACATGGTCGTTGGGAGACAACCAAACATGAACACAGCATTTCTCCTTTAACCACACACATGGGGATATACAGAGAATGTATGAAAGACGCAGAATCCGAAGCCCAAAAAAGAGGGGCCTTGGAAGCGGATCTTCTGCAGGTGATCCAAAGGTATCAGAAGCTTCTGATTGTCTTGGAAGACTTGGAGGACGCTGGCAGGCGAGACAAATTGTCGTTTTCGCCTGGGGAACCTGGCTACACAACTGGGTTTCTCTTTGCTAGTATAAACGTTGGAAATGACAGTACCATGACCTTGGAGCATTTGAGGTCCACTTCTGAGCTTCACCTCCCGAAAAACTGGCTAGTTCATCCATTTCCACATTTTTCCACTGCAGAAAATCATCTAAAATCATATTTAAAGAAGCCCATCTTTGGGTTTCGGCTAACAAAATGTGAGTCTTTCCGATTTCCAGCGCTGTCCGCTCTTTGCTTCTCGCCCTTTTTTTCCGCTGTTTCCCCAGGCATGCTACTTCCATTATGACATGGGCTCGGACATGTTTGGCGCAGCCTGACGTCGCCATGATCATCACCTGCAGAGGCATGGCCAAAGTTTGGCTGAGGGATGGTTATGGTGATATTTCGTGGGGATATGCTGTGGGGATAACTGAATAACATTGAATGACTGACTTACTTTAATGGAAATGATTCAACATTGATGGTTGGAGGGTAATTAAACTCTAAATGTATCCAAATGTGATGGTTCATTTTCATGTTTAATCCCAATTTCCCACCAACATTGATGGTCAAAGTTATAGTCCAACTTTTTATCCCAATCATACCCCCATTGATTATTCACAGTTATGCCCTCAGTACTGTAACGAGCTCCATTGCATGATGGAAAGTCCCCCTACTAGTTCGATGATTTTCCCACCTCTAAACCTCCATTGACGGCGGAGTGTTGGATTACCGGAAGGTATGTTGAAGGTGTTCAGCAAAGTTCCTTGTCTCATGTGTACAGGACTTTGAGCGTTTGACATGTCTAGAGGCATTTTCCAGATTGTTCTAGCAGTGACACATTTGAAACATATGTGCATATACAATATACTGTATGCATATATATATATATATGTATGTATACACACGTTTATACATACATATATATATATATGATACACATATGCAAGAAAACACATATGCACCATTTTCAGGTGAGGAGCAGAAGTGGACACCGGAGCAGCTGGCCGGAATGGATTCTCGACACATGTCCGGCTGGGATACATCTACCCTCTGGGAATTAAAAGTGGCAATGGAAAATCCCCTATAAATGGATGTATAATGGAGGTTAATTAATGGGAAATCATCTATGCCAGTTCTTCTTTTTCATTGAATGCTTGAAGTGATTGACAGACTTATCCTACAGTCTTCTACATGTGTTTCCTGCATTTTTGTAAGTCGGTCAACCAGGCTGCTTTCTCTTCGGTCGGGCAACCAATGAAGTTGGTACAGTAGAGTACATTGTGCCACAGCTAAAGCCCAAACATTACTGAGAGATACTAGTGCTATACTAGTGGCTAAGCAACCCCCAAGCGTATCCAATTGTCAGAAATTTAGCTACAAATATCTGAACTGACCCTGATCCAAAAGAATTGGCTTCTCACATTTCAAAACATGGCTTCTTCCATGGTTTTCCGTGGTTTTCCCATGGTTCCCATGGTTTTTTCTACGATTTCCCATGGTCTTCCCATCCCATTTTGCTCCTAAGGACCTGGCCACCTACGACCTGGTCCACCTCCGCCGGCACGGCCTCGACGGCCTCGCCGGTGCCAAGGGCGAAACGGCGATGGCGGAGCCGTGGAGGTCGGCGCTGCGGCTCTGCATCCGGATGGATCAGGTGGGGTCGGTGGGGTCGGCGGGGTCCCTGGTCCTTGGGGATCATCCCTTCAAAGCCTTGGTGGTTTTGGGACTGAACTCAGATTTAGATGGTGTTTTCATAGATGTACTGCCATGGCTGCCATGAGAATATGGTGATGTCGGGGGGGTTGGCTATGGCTAACCAGATTAGCTTCGGTCAAACGTGGAAAAGCGCAGAAAGTTGAGGGCCGAAAGGGAAAATCGTCTACAAATGATGAATTTTCCATTGGGGTTGAACAATGGTTGAATAATGGATCATAATGGTTGGTAACATTGAGAGGAGCCGTTTGACATTGAACAAGTTAGAACAAGAAGATGGGTTTTGGTGCCTGGTTTGATTTTTAACGCTGGAATATTTGTCGAACATCCACAACTGTTGAACTCAAGACTGGCTGAGTTGAGATGGTTTGATAGATAAGAATCTCTTTCATTGCTCTTAGTTGGCGACTGCTTTCTCTTGTCGTTATAGATATATATATATATAACTTTCAAAAATTTAATTGTGAGGGGTATACGATTGCATCCGTCGGCACGACACTTGCACAGTTTCAATTGCCACCTGTCCTGTACAAAGAAGTTGGTTTTCCGTTAGTTATGCTTCTGTGGTCAGACTTCTGCAAAAGTATTCCCCAAAATATGTTTTTGAAAAATCAAAGCTGACTGTCCCGGAATGTTCCTCAATCCTCCAAACATCATGAATTTGAAATTTTCTCATCTCGAATCTTGCATCTCAAAGTTCCACTTCTACTATAGCAAGCCCATCTCCCTGGCCCCTTAGCTGCCACGCTAGGACGGACAGCTCTGGGTCTCTGGTTGCACCGTGGATGCCCTGTGCATCGGTCGCCACGGAGACCTAGAGCTGTTGGAGGCGAGGAATTGCTTCGAGGTCTATGAGAGCTTGGTGCTTGGAAGGAAAAAGATGGGGACAGCCTTCGGCTATCAAACATGGCTGGGAAATACATGGAAATACCCTATGATCTATGGAGGTTTATAGGTTTATAGCTGGGAAAATCATCTATAAACTGGGAACTGACCGTTGCCATGTTCGATTACCAGAGGCTATTGATGTGATGGATAAGTTCATTCATGGGCCTTCACCTTGGGTTAGCCAACGCAAAATGGGGATGAAGTGGTTAAAACATGATTATGCTTTAGATTGATTCAATGCCCTTCAGCAAAGGAACATAGCTATGGACCCATGGCCAGTTTAGTTCGATGATACACCCTTCTCGAAAATGGTGATGTCCATAGCTATGGCATAAATTGCCTGAGAGAGATATCCACCATTATACACCCAAAAGTGGAGATTATGGCCAACTAGATCCAACTTGTAACCAACAATATCCAAGAAATGGAGAAAGATGGAGTGATTTCGCCACCAACAATGTCAAGAAGGGAGTTCTTTATAAAACTGACGTAAAAAGTGGGGAGAACAGAAGATTTTTAGCTCCAGCCACCTCCCAGGAGCTGGATTCAATAGTCAGTTCCCATTAGCACCTCGATTTTTCAGCTCCAGCCATCTGGAGCAGTTCCTGTCGGGAAAATTTGGTGACATCTTCTGGGAAGAAGTCACTTGTTGTGAGGTGTGCAAGCTTTTACCCCCCGATCCCCAGCAGCTGGAAGACTTTGCTCTGGAGCTTTGCTGCCGGGGGCCGCCTTACGTAGTACCTGGGCAATGCTTCAGTTTGGTATTGATGGGATCATTGTGAAGGTCATGAAATACCAAACTCATGAAGTTATTCAAGTCACATATCATGGGGGAATGGAACATGAAATGGGATGACCCTGATATAAATTTGATGAGATGTATGTAGGATGTGATGTAATATGCTGACAAGGACAGGGCAAATACTATATAATACTGCATCATGAAAATTTAGGACTTTTGGTGGTTTGATGGGTATGTCATTGGACATGACTTTTTTGAAATCCTTTGAATGAGCGACCTCGCGACCTCTGTGACATCACTGGACTGACGATTATGGTGAGGATTGGGGGGAACCATCCAGAAAATCACCTTATTTAAGGCTGGTGAGTTCGCGCAGTTATTTACAATTCAGCAAGATCAATTTCTATCAGCTTAGCAGGAATTTGATGGAAATTAAGTTGATTCACGAATCTTGTTTTGAGTCCGAATATGTATGTCTTCTCGTCAGCGGGCAACTGGAGCTCCGCACCGGAATGTGCATGTGCACTTCTTAGAATACAGTTTGTTTAGATGAAGGCTTCCTAACCCCTGCGCGCGCTCACAGATCGATGGTTGCATTATGTTGCATTCATCAAGTAGTTTGTTGCTTTTTCCCTCCCTTATTTTGATGTTTCAAAGTCATATTTACACAAGCAGCTGTCTCCCTAGGTTTCTAGGTGGTGATATACCTGGTTGTTTTAACGAAATATCAGCTGTTCAAACCCCACAACTAAACATGCTGTTTCTCCAAATTTGATCACTTCCCTCACTTGTACTACGCAAATCTAGTGATTTGCTGATAAAAAACATGCATAGTATATGCATAGTATTGCATAGTCATAGAAAAAGTGTACGTAGAAATTCATGTATTGCTTTGACCCCATAAGTTGATCCTCAACTTCCCCAACAATCTCCTCTTGAAAATCCCAAATCTGAATGTTTTAAATTTGAAACCTTTATTTCTCCACCATTTCTCCATTGGCGATTCCCGAGGCCCCCATCCCCAGCTCCCTCCGCAGCTGCTCCTTGCTGCGCTGCCACAGCGCCGGCGATGCTGCCGTCAGCCGCGGGCGCTTCGCCTGCGCCACGCAGCGCAGCTTCTGCGCTGCGCAGGCCTTGCGACGGCGCAACGACCTGGCGCCGCAGGTGATCAGCAACCAATGGCCGCAGGTGGAGGGCTGGAGGATATGGAGGAGATTCACCCGAGCCTAGAAAAGGGATGATTGGTTGAGATGACAGTCATTTTTTGGATGGGAACCCACCAACTAGCATAACTAGCCATATTAACAATCATGAAGACACCACTATTTCCTATATAAATCACCAGAATATGGAAAACCCAATGCCATAAACCATCCCCAATTGGGGTTTCTGAAATTGGGTATACCTCTGTTTGGGATGATTTTTTCATTTGACCCCAAATGGTTGGTTACTGGGATTGTCTATTATTGGATTTCCCTCATCAAACCCAATCATGAAAAGAGAAGGGCGGATTACTGGAATAATTTTCGGAATAACTCAACTTGCCACTGCTGGGATCACATTTTAAGTTTCAAGGACCTCCTATGACTAGTTCGAAAAGGCACTGTTGGTTGGCCAGACCCAGGCAATGCAATTTAGCAGCATAAATTGGGAGAATGCAGCCAGAAATGGGGTGATTTGAGTTTTGCTAATCGAAGATATGGCCGGAAATTCACTTTGAAAGTCAAAGGATCGGCCTTTTGTTTTCCACACTGATGGTGATTTTCATTGATTTTCCTTTGGTGGGCTTGATTTTCATAGTGGTTGGGTTTGAACACAAAATCTGCAGGCGCAAACCCTTTTTTCTACAAGTCAAGCTCCCATCTTGTATCTATGACATTTCGTTCAACCTTCGCCGTTGGCATATCTTTTTTTTTTTGCTGGTGAAATTCCACTATGAATTATTGTACCTATTTTCACTATTTGGGCGTGCTACTATCTAACAATATAATAACACTTAAAACCTATAAACTCAATTTTCTGCTGAACAAAATGCGTTCAAATGCCATTGAACCAAACAAAACCATGTAAAATCCATCTAAAACCAAATAAAACCCTGTAAAATCCATGTAAAACCATGTAAAACCATGTGAAATCCATGTAAAATCCAGTATCTTCGTTGATGAACCTCCGTTTTGTTCACACGTTCATCCCCCTGCAGGTCCGGCACTTCCTGCGCCGCGCCTTGGAGCTGGACCTGCGGGAGCCGGAGATGGCGGAGATGGAGATGCCGCTGCTGCGGCAGAAGCTGAAGATGCCACTGGGAAGCCATTGATGGTTAATGGTTAATAGTAACCATTAATGGTTAATAGTAAATAGTAACCATTAATAGTAACCATCTTGGATATAGTCAATGGTTAATAGTAATCTTGGATATTCGGGTTGCTTACATTGTTAATCTTGGATATTCGGATATACCCTCTGCTAAACTAACACAGCTATGGAAAACAACAATGTTTAATGGGAACATCCACTATAAATGGCCATGTTCAATAGCTACGTTAAATTACCAGAGGGTAATGGTTAATAGTAATGGTTAATAGTAACCATTAATGGTTCATAGTAAATAGTAACCATTAATAGTAACCATTAGTAAATCATTAATGGTTAATCGTAACCATTCATGAAATATTGCCATTCATGATTTTCTGAATAGTAATTGCCATTAATGATGGTAAGAATCGTTAATGGTTACCATTCAGAAAATAATGGTTACTGATTAATGATCCATTTATTTAATATCATATGACGGTAATTGATGATGAATAATTACTGGTTGATAGTAGTTGAAAATTATTGGTGGTTGATGATGAACATTAGTTGTCTAATAATGATGATAGTTAGTTTAACGTAGTTTCACCCTCCTAATAATATATGGTCTTAGATTGGTTGATAGTAGTTGACAATAGGCTGTTTTATAATGATAGTTAGCAACGGTTCATAATGATAGTTAATAATTATTGGTTCAATATGGATGTCGAATGATCGTCCAACTATAGTGGTTTATGACTAACATAATTCACATAACTAGGTGAGTAAGTAATGAAGCGTTATTGGATCTAATAATTTATAACCCAAGCGGGTTTCTAAACAATCCCTCTCCCATGTGTGGTAAATATGGGTAAATCATCATTGTTTTTTTAATGGGAGGATTGGAGGGGTCTATTGGTTTATAACTGAAACATATTTCTGCATAAGTTGGTGTATAACATGTTATGAATTATAAATTGTAACCATGCTAACTTGGACTTGTGGTAGAGATATGTGCAGTCAATGGGGTCTATAAACCAACAAACATAACTATACACATGACTATACAGCATGCGGGTTTATGGTAGGTATATCGAACCAGTTGGTGGCTGTTAATATGGTTTAGAAACCAATTCCAATTTGTAACTGGTTGGGGGGCTCAGCACATTGAAGAAATCTGGATGCTACTCGTAGTTGGTGCTTTCATGCCTCTCTGTTTTCAAACATAAAACGATTGAAACTATAAGATAAGAATCCCCACTGCGTGATTAGTTTTGTTTGAGGATGTTGAATGGGTATGGGTCAAAAAAACAATTTGTCAGTGATGGTTCCTGTTTACGCCTTATGGGGTACAAGAAAATGGTGGAATCACTCCGAAATACCGTCGTTATGATGGAAAAAATTGAGAAAAAACGTCAGATGCAAAGAACCCCACATGGGTATCGGCATCTGGAATCAACAGGGGGATGTTCACCATCCATCTTTATTTTTGGTTCAATGGATTATGGGTTATGACTTACGATCACCTTAAGGTGATATTTGAGATTTATTAGGATAATATAGCTAAACTATATGGAAGAAAGTGGTATCTCAGCGGTTGACCCTTTATCCCCTCAACTACTGGCCATGACCCAACTAAAAGCCATACTGTACCAGGCTGGTCCCTGAAATCAGTGTGGAGAGTGACTATGGGAATGCGGGGTCCATCATGGGGTGCGCCAGAAAATGCCCATAAACACCGAGAAACTACATATGTGTCGATTGGATCCTGTTTTTCAAGATCCTAGTGGGTTCAATTTAAATTTTGGAGGATTGAATTTCTGTCTTTGCCAGTTAAAAAAATATGTTTTCCTTTCAAGATAGCTTATCTTCCGGTGGCTGGCTAGGAAATCGCCTAAAAATGGAAGTTTTAATAGGAAAACTATCGAACTAAATGGTGGGTTTTCCCACATTTTATTACCAGATGGTATCGCTATTACTACGTAACTATCCATATTTTTACAGTTCCCGGGCTCCCCAGGGCACGTTTGTTGAACGCCAACCCTTCGGTGCTTTCGCCGCTGCTGGTGGGGCGTCCAACCGACCACGCGGCCTCGGTGGCCGCAGAAGCGCTGGAGGCATGGCTGACGCAAGCACTGGCGGCGGACGAGGTGCGGCCATGGCGGGCTGGAGGTCTGGGTGATCAGCGGTGTGCTGGTGACATGACTTTTTTGGGTTGAATTTTCCGAGTTTCCCTAAATTTTCCGATTTGATGGTCCTATCAAATCCCAATATGCCTTATATTTCCCAGCGTAAACATTGCCAATTCGATTTAAACAGTCCAATAGTTGGAAAATTGGAAAGTGAAAATTCCCGGTTTAGACATTCTCTCCGTTTTCACTGCATGTTCGCCTTTGTTTCCTGCAGGGTATACGATATCATATCAAGTTTCCCCAGCTGATTTCCCAATGACTTTCTCCATATTCCCTAAATTGTCCAGGTCGCAGCCTGGAAATCTGAGTTTATCATTGAGGGATTGCTATGATAACATGTCAATCATTGGTGTCATGATATCTCGTAAAATATGAATCTCAGAAAAAATGCAACAAGTTGTAACATCTCATATAACATCATATCTCATATAGTGTATATATATAATATTTGAATCTCATTAGAACCTCATATAGTATTTGATATCTATACATTTTAATATATAATCTTATAATATCTCATATATTTGTTGCTCCTCGCAGGCCGCCTTGCCTCAGCTTCTCGCCTTGGCCTCCCTCTCTCCCGGCCTGGACCCTGCAGTGCTAGAGATGGCCAGGGCCAAGGTAAGGCTGCAGGAGATCTCGGTGATGGCCTTGAACAATGGGAAATCCACCAAAACCATGGGAAAACTATGGGAAAACTATGGGAAATCATCCATAGATGGATGTTTTGGTGGGAAAGTCATCTATTATAGTGGTTTAACCCATGGAAAATTGCGATTTTACCAAGAAAAATGATGGGAAAATGGTGTGTTTAACCCAGAACAACTGGTGATTATGGGATAGAATGGGATTCACTGCTGTGGTAACTTCACAGTTTTCCATTGAATAAGTGGAAAAAGAAGTGAATCACCATCGAAGCAAGTGGTAAATGTCCAGTTCGCAAACTGTTGACTTACCGGATGATATTGGATTTCTGTTGAATATATGAATGATTTCTGATTTCTTTGAATTTCACTTCAAGATATGACTTTCCGGTTTCATTTCTCCTTTGCTGGTGTGAATTTTGGCTGGTGAGATTCTGAAATGGAATGGACCAGCCTTTTGTCGGCCTCAAAGGGAACCCCAACATTTTGACCTATGCCCCCATGGATATTTACCCGGGACCAATGGACTAACATGTTTGGGAGTTAATGGGTTTTACCCTCCAGTAAACTAAGATAGCTTTGGAAATGTTCCAGTTTTCACAAGTAAATCGAACTGAATGGGCCATTGTCCGTAGCTATTTCAATGTAACAGAGGGTATAGTTCTTGTATGTGTTCTTTCTGCTTGGTGACCCCCATGCCTTTCATGGCGCCATTCTGAATGATATTCGTAGGGATTGAGCTGACTGAACTTCCAAACTTGTGGTCGGAAAATCTCCAACTTGGGGGTAGGGACCATGATTTCCTGCACACCTTCCTTTCAAATCAAGTTGTGCTGTTAGAAAACTCGGACTGTGGGGTCATGAATCCAATCTGTAAAGATGACACGTACCATTTTCCATGGTGGTTATAACCCAGGTTATACCTATGAACCATCACCGTCAGAAGCCACCGACTTCATCGCAGGAACTGGACCTTGAAACGGTCACCCTCCATGAGATCCTAGTGACTCTGGAAGCCTCTACCGTGCTGCCGCCGAAGCTGAAGTGGCCCTTAGCACAACGTTTCTTTGGTGCATCCAGTGGTGTTTTTGGGGAAGCTGGGGCAGTGTTCCTCAATTCTTGGAGAACCAGTTGGCAGCTTTAGGGTGAAGAATGATGTAAATCATAATTTTATAGAATGCAACAAGCAACAAGAGGTGCAACTTTTTTCATCATACAAAATTGACGCATGTTTCCAACTTTGAAGGCCTGTTCGCAAACACACCAGGGCGGCGGCTCTTTCACTGGCGGCCTCGCCATGTTTTGGCTCAGATTTGAAAGCTCCTTCCGGCCAGAAAATGAGCATCTATCATGTCATCTTCAGAATTCTTCAAGAAAGAACATCATCCAACAAATGCTTGATCCCAAAATGACGGAATTGTAGATCATATACCATCTATTTGATATCTTCATCATTTCCTTGCAGCGATCCGCCATCACACCGCACCCCCCTCGCAGCCGGTGCCATGACCAGCTACAGCCCTTTGGCCTTTCCCGACCCAGAGGCGCCAGCCCCCGAAAAGGCTGAGGCACCCAAGAGCTGGAGCTTTCGTGCCTTGGAAGGGAGCGATGCGGCACCGAAAACGGAAAACGGCTTTGTTTCATGCGTCAGTTTGAAAACCTGGGTTTGAGGAAAAAGTTGGGAAAAATCATGATCAAAACCCCATGTAGATCATGTATGTGTTCCACGGCAGTTTTTTCCCCGAAACAAGTGGGAAGAATTTGATGATGAGAAACCAATGAGAACCAGCAAAACTTGGAATATCATGGGAATGCAACCTACAAACATTAGCAGAATGCCACGATTAAGAATTCCTCCATCATGATCATTTATACTCTCATCATTGGTTGTTGCAACAGGGTTGGCTCAATGATTATCACGGTGGTTCCTCCCGGCCCAGGCAACACAGGAGAAAACTATGGAAAACTTAACCCCTCGAAAGCGGCACTATCACTATCCACTGCGGTTGGAAGGTAAAACGCACGATGACACAATGTAACAGCAAAGTGGTGTGTTGCAGTGGTGTGTTCTGATTCATCACGGTTTTTGTGCTTCTGACTGAAATTCATCGTGCTTTTGCTTCTGTAACTCCTTTTAAAGTGTGCGATTCAAATCATGCGAGGTCCTGTTGCTGGTAAATCATGCCTAAACGCCAAAACGAGACCTGCTCAGGTCTCGTTTCGGGGCTGATCCTCTCCGCCGCCGTGGCCTTGCTTTGCGTGGGAAAGCTTTGGCCTCTGTCTGGGGCGCAAGATGCGGATGTGCCTGGGCTGTGGGCTATCAGTGGGGGATTGGTTTTTCTGCCTGAAGCGCAAATCCCAAGGTAAATGAGGGTAGAGTATAGGAACCAACATCCAACCATCTCTAAACGTGCTGTTTGATCCAAAAAGTTCGCATGGAGACCGAGATCCCCAAAGAACACCGGGTGAAATTTCGAAAGAGTTGATGGTCTTTGTGCCCACAGAATGGGGCCAAACGGATCCGCCCCAAACTTCGGAATTTCATGGATATCCATGGTGAGATTTAGGGGATATCCACTACTTTGATACAAACCCCCACTCTGATGCAATCCCTCATTTTTTTTTGATAGGCATCCTTTTTTGGCTCGAAACTGCTTATATAGATCCAAGATGATCCAAGACAGACTAAACGTGATTTTCAAACGAGGTTTCTTTCTTATGGGTCCAAGGTGGGATTCTGTAGAGGGGTTTCGTGCAAAATTTCTTTGCAGCTTCAGGTCTCGGCTTCGCAGATGAAGATGGGCAACTACTTCTATCCGCCATGTCCCACGGGCACCTTCCACCAGTGTCCTGAACATTGGGATGCAGGCCAGGGATGAGGCTGATGCCGGTGGATGTTGTTTTTCCCAATGCGGGGCAGGTGCCATGGGCAACTAGACCGAATCAGAAGATGATAGGAGGCTGTTTCGAAAGTGAACCAAAAACATGATCAGACTGAGGAAATAGTCGGGCTTTGGGTTGAAAGTCAGAATGTGATGAATGAAAGAATAGATGCAATACATGCTGCATTTGGGGTAGGAAAGCCGAACTATCCATCAATTTTGTCCTAAAGTCAGATTTTGTGCAGTCGGATGCTAGCTTTCTTTGTGATCCGAATCCAATCAACAGCCGTCGCTGTGCTAAAAGGATTGATGGGGTGGTGGGATAGCTGTTGCTCACATTAGCGTTCCTTTTAATGGGAAATTGCTAAAAGCAAAACCCCATGCTGCGTCTCCCATGGCTATGTTGGCCAAGTTCAGGCTACCACTGCCTTCACGGCATGACCTATCACCACGCCAAGTCCTACCAGAAGTACAATTGTCGGCATCTCAATGAAGGACCATTTCCATTGAACGAGTGCCTGAACCAGTGTCGCATTGGCCACTTCGGAAAAGGACGTTGGGCTAGCCATGCCTGGGAAACCGCTGGAGATACAGTGCACGTGGTTCATCACTACTATGACGATGGAAGCGACTACATGAATGGCAAGGGCCCTGCACCAGTGGATGGCTTTGTTGATGATGGAAGCGACTACATGAATGGCAAGGGCCCTGCACCAGTGGATGGCTTTGTTGATGATGGAAGCGACTACATGAATGGCAAGGGCCCTGCACCAGTGGATGGCTTTGTTGATGATGGAAGCGACTACATGAATGGCAAGGGCCCTGCACCAGTGGATGGCTTTGTTGATGATGGAAGCGACTACATGAATGGCAAGGGCCCTGCACCAGTGGATGGCTTTGTTGATGATGGAAGCGACTACATGAATGGCAAGGGCCCTGCACCAGTGGATGGCTTTGTTGATGATGGAAGCGACTACATGAATGGCAAGGGCCCTGCACCAGTGGATGGCTTTGTTGATGATGGAAGCGACTACATGAATGGCAAGGGCCCTGCACCAGTGGATGGCTTTGTTGATGATGGAAGCGACTACATGAATGGCAAGGGCCCTGCACCAGTGGATGGCTTTGTCGATTATGGAAGCGACTACATGAATGGCAAGGGCCCTGCACCAGTGGATGGCTTTGTTGATGATGGAGGCGACTACATGAATGGCAAGGGCCCTGCACCAGTGCATGGCTTTGTCGATGATGGAAGCGACTACGAGAAAAAGTAGGGTGCTTCATGGTGGATGGCATGGTGGTTTTGTTTGGCACGTGAGGGAGCCATCTAATCATAATTTGCAATGTCTAAAGGCAAATGTCCACATCCTTCACGAAGTGATTGGTGCGGCTTGGCCAAATTTTGTGCCATACTCTCCGTAGTTGAGCTTTGATGGCCAAATTGCGATGCTTGCAGCACACGTACGGACTTCCTCGGACCCTTGGAAGGAAGTTGGTATGGATGCTGCCCGGGGCATGACTTGTATGGCTGTCAACATGCCGACGATCAAGTTCAGCAGTTGATCTGAACAGTCGTGTGAGTGGAGCACTTTTTTGGATGAGGCGGGTGGGCCTTCAGATGGCCGTTTGATAGTTCAATATAATTCAATTATAGCTCATAATTTTCTATTTACATACCTTCTCACCTGTTGGATCTTATTGGTGTGACATGATATATCACTGCTTAATTGCTAGATGGTTGATCCTTGCTCTAGTCACTCTCCGAAAGCCGGCGCTTGGTGGGCCGAACTGCTTGGAGAAGGGTGGGAAAGGAGAAACTGCCAACCACCAGCTCTGTTTGACGGCGTGATCAATCACTCCGAAAATGGACCGCCCTTCACCATGGAAAGGTAACAAAAGGTATAAGATATGATATGATATATGAGAAGTTCAAAGGTTTAATATGGTTTAATCAGCCCTCAACTTAACAATGAACCTGCAAACTGGGGTCTTGAAGATGATCTTACTCCTGACTTTAGTACTGACTTCGATTTCATTCTCGGCTCTTTTAACCATTTTTAACTTCAACGGGTAAAGTCTTTGGGCCCTGGGTGTGCTGCTGCTTCGACCCTACCCGATGTTACCCGGTAGCAAAAGGGGATCCCCACCAACCTCAAGCACCACTTTGCAAATGGTAAACTCATGTACCCTCTGGTTATTTAACATAGCCATGGTATAGATGGCCCATAGAAATAGATGGTTTACCTATTAAACATGGTGATTTTCCATGGCTATGTTAAATAACCAGAGGGTAAATTTAACATTTTTGTTAAACACACGCCCTTCTTAAAAATTGATGTCCGTAAGGTCTCCGAGTGTTGAAATTGGTGACCTTTCCCCATGGCCTCGGAAAGCTCTGAGGCTTCTTGCAGCAGATCAAGGGACGGAGCCTCGTTGCTACGGCATGGCATGGAAAATGGCTGGAACTCAAAATGGGGACTATCCAAACCTATAGGCAGTATAAGAGGAAATTATGTTTATATGATGACTAATCATGGGAGTTCTTCAATCATTATAATATACGATGTTCTTTTCCTCCCCTAACATTGGATGGTTGATACCAAACATGACCACAATCTGTCGTCCCTTGGTTTGCTGATTTGTGGCTTTGTTTATGACCTGATGTAGGTCATGAGTTATCAAGGATTGCTCAAGGATGCTAGGAAAAGAATGTGAACAATTACTATGTTTGGGAATAACACTGGGAAATACTGGAGCGTAGCCACCTTGAATCCCCCGCTGGATTCAGCTAGAGCCTGTCCGACTTAATTAGTAGGTTGTGAATGATTGAAATTCGCGTCAACCGACTGTTATTTCTTGACAATTGATCATTTGACTTATTTATATTGCGACAAGTGCATGCACTAAACACCAATCAATATTCATCAATCAATCAATGAGCCTGGTTTCCCCCGCGTTGTGTTACTAGCCTAGCTTTACCGATGTCAGCGATGCATTCTTTGACGCAGCCAGCCTGTCCCCTGGATGAACCCATGGCCCATTGATGATGGGATTGGATCATTGGATCATATATAAGTGGGTTATGATGTGGTTAATAAATGTTAATGATATCCCATAAGTGGGTTAACATATATAAGTTGATATGATGATGTCAGAAATGTAAAAAAATTGGATATTCTTCTCAATCTGTGCTGTTGACTGCAACCTCTGCTGTTGGATGCTGCGCTGTTGACTGTAACCTTTGCTGTTGGATGGTCGTTCGATGGAGTTGATACTATACATATATACTATACCGCTTTGGGGGCTGTTTGACTGAAAGTACCTGAACGTGGAAATCTTTGCACATGGCGAAGCCTTCGAGCTCCCAAAATCTCATATCTTGCGGGTGCGCCCAGAGAGCTTGGTGAATTTACAAAACTATATAATGTTATTTATATATATATATTTATATATATAGACGTTATGTTTATATATAATATTTATATTTAATATTCATATATATATATACACAACTATTTATATATCATATAGTTTTCACATGTCTTATTCCTCAGTGATCACGCATCAAAACCCACCAGAACCGGCACCAAGATCCACCCACAGCCGCATCTCAGGATCTCAACCGTGGATGACTTGCAGCTCCTGATCCGCCTGGCTGCGGCAGCAGATTTTGCGGAGACGCTGCTGGAGGAGATCTGGATCTCTAGGGGATGATGCCCCCGGTGAAACCCCTACCCTCTGGTAATTTAACATAGCTATTGAAAATGGCCAGTTATAGTGGATTTTCCCATTAAAAATGGTGATTTTCAATAGCTATGTTAAATTACCAGAGGGTAAGAATCCCAGTTGCTGAAAATTGGATCAATGGAGCTCTTTTTGTGGAGCTTGTTTCGAGGTGTTTCGAGAAGGACTTCCTGGAAGATCATGGAAGTGTAGCTTGGGAATGGGTCAAGGTTGATTTCCGTCAGCACTTCTTTTCTGTTGGCGTACTTTTTTAATACCTCTGCGCGCGTGCTGGATGCGGAAGAAATAGTGGGATTAGTGGATAACCCTCCCAGGTAGACAGGTACCAACTCTATCTATATATCTATCCTATCTCTATATATATAATGATTATAATGTTTCGTCCTGATTTGCAAGCCCCCCCCACACAATAGCTATACCCTCTTTAAAGCTGGGTGCCAAAAAGTTGTGTCCCAGAAAAAAAAAAAGCACTTAAGTAAGGATTTCAATTGGCTACAATTGAAATCTAATTAAAACTTTTTTTGCCGATGAAGTTGTAGTACTTGTAGTACTTGTAGCACCTTTAGTATTTGTAGTAGTTGTGTATGTGTAGTACTTGTAGTAATTACTTGTAATTAGCAATTGTAGTATGCTTAGTACTTTTTCTCTTAATGAACCATGCAATAAGAGAAAGAGAAAGAGAAAGAAAAGAGAAAGGGAACGAGAGAAAGAGAGAGAGAGAGAGGAAGAGGAAGAAGAAGAAGAGGAAGAGGAAGAGAAAGAGAAAGAGAAAGAGAAAGGATAAGAGAAAGAGAAAGAGAAAGGAAAAGACAAAGGAAAAGAGAAAGGGAAAGAGAAAGAGAAAGAACAGGTTGCTATTGTAAAAGGTGTTTCTTTCTTCTCTTGGCTCTAGGATCAGCTCTGGAAAAGTTTGCTGCAATTGTGAACCCTGCGAACAAACCTACTAAAGTGAATTGGACCCTCTCATGGCCCAGTGCCTTGGAAATTTGTGGAAAAACTGTTCTTTAATAAGGGTTTAATAAGCGGTCTGATTCTTTTGGGAAAGGTTTGGGCTTTGAACTTGGCAATTGCTTGTGGAAAAGGCCTACCTTTCTTCTCTTGGCTCCAGGATCAGCTCTGGAAAAGTTTGCTGCAATTGTGAACCCTGCGAACAAACCTACTAAAGTGAATTGAACCCTCATGGCCCAGTGCCTTGGAAATTTGTGGAAAAACTGTTCTTTAATAAAGGTTTATTAAGCGGTCTGATTCTTTTGGGACAGGGAGAAAAGCAAGATTTTTCCAGAAAAAAAATCTTTTTGTTTTACACAAACATTTTTTTGGACAAAAAAACTGCCTCCCCAAGATTTTTTGCCACAATAGCGAACCTGCCAAACAATGCATGGGTTCAGAATAATTTGGAAAATGTGTGGCACAATAGCGAACCTAGCTACTAATCAGGATACAACATTAACATAAAACACATTACTACATTATTGATATGAACCTTTCACGACCCAAATCGACTTAAGCTCTATTCTATGGAAAGAAATGCATAAGGAGAAAGGAATTTGTTTTTCAATGGGGGTTCCTTAAAAAAACACATACACAAATTCGCATTGAATTTTCCAATTGATTTTTTTTTTCCCCCAAACTCCTTTTTGCTGCGCGTCAGTGTTCGTGGGTTAAGGCGGCAGCCGGCTGGGGACAGGGGGGTCTTCCCAGCGCGCGTCAGCAATTAGGGTGGGGAGGGACTTGCCGATGTTAAATGTAGACCGATAGACCGTTTTTGGTTTTAGGCCACCTGCACCTTCGGAAAACGTGTGTTCTCCGATCCTGAAGTTATCTAACTTTGGATCCCACGGCCAGAGCAGCAGCCATTCCGATGTATCTGCCAACCCATGATTGCAAAACACATTTGGCTCAAGAACACGTTGGCTCAAAATGGCTCAAGACTTTGACTTCCCAGCTTTCAAAAAAAAAAGGGGAGGAAGGGATGTAATGTAGTTGGCTCAAGACCAGTGTGGGCAAAGTTACCCACACTGGGGCTGGGAAAAAAAATGGGTAAGATGGGATTGGTAACTAGATGGCTCAAAACCAATTTCGGCAAAATTTCCAAATTGGTGCGGTAGGGCAAGGAAAAAGTAGGAAGGGAATTGGGAAGGGATGGTTGGGACTGGGCTGGATGTGACCAGGGGTAACATGATAACATAATGTAATGTAACCTTGGGGTAATGCAACCTTATAATTTTCAACATGGCATGGCATGAAACCATCAAACCATAAACCATGTCAAACACAACATTTCAAACATTTTTGGCATGGAACAGGGGAGGTGGTCTGACCCCTCTCAGTTCTTTTCGATTGTTTTTTTGTTGCCACAAGTGGCAGCGCTGTGGAACCAAGCTGTAGAATTCTCTGCAGCATGGCCAGCAGGGGAGGCGACCCCTCTCGCTGACTATTTTTTTTCAACAAATCAAACAATCAAACCATGTAAAACACATGATGTTTCAATTTTTTGGCATGGATTGGGCAGCAGGGGAAGTGTCTCACCCTGTTCACTGACTGGATCATTTTATTTTGGATTGTTTATTATTTTGTTGCCACCAGTGGCAGCGCTGTGGAACCAAACTGTAGAATTTTGGCATGGCCAGCAGGGAGGTGGTCTGACCCCTTTCACTGACTGGATTGTTTTATTTTTTCAACAGGCTAAACCATCAAACAATGTTTATTTTTGATTTTTTGAAGAGGAGGTGGTTTGACCTCACTACCTGGAATGCTGGAGTTTTTTTGACAGGTGCCGACATGCTAAGCGATCAAAGCAATGAAACCAGGGAGAGCTGCCAATTTCACCATTTTTTGTTTGGCAGCCAGCCTTGAAGGAAGACAAATTCACACAAACCAATGGAAGGTGGTCTGACCTTCCGACCCCTCTGTGAAGAAATTGCAGTGTTTAATCCCATTACCTTCTGTCAGTCAGAAATGTAACTGGGGAGGGGGGCAGGGCGATCCAAAAAATCACCAACTGGGTGTTGAGTATATATGCATCCCTTTGTTGGAGCTAGATCTATCTTTGTACGATTTATCTTGGATGATATTACCCAAGATGAAGGTGGTCTGAACTCTTTAACCACTGCTTCACCGAAATTTCACTGCTTCACCAAACATTGCTTTGAGCTCTTGAAGCGCGGCAACTTGACCTTCTATGTGAAGGGGGGTGCAAGATCACTCAGTGCCCTTAGGGCAGATGTGGCCAAGCGCAAGGCTTTGCGAACGATGCGGCGTTCCATAGACTTGATCAGGGCGGCCATCGCGGCTGAATTTCCAGATTGTGATGCAGTCATGGCTTTCCGAGTGTTTGACTTGAGCCCAGACTCGGGCAGCAGCACCGCAGAAGGGAAGGCCGACAGTATCGCGCGCCTGGCCAAAGTGTTCGCCTTGAACCCAGGAAAACTGAAGGCTGAGTTTGATCGTCTTTGGCCCATTGCTTTTGCCCAGCATAAGAATGCCGGATGCAACAATCGACAAGCCTGGCAGTTTGCCTTTAGGCGAGCCGTCTCCAAAACATCGCAAGCCTGGGACTTGGACAACTTGGAGGTTGTTCCTTGTCAACAAGATCACATCAGTTTTGAACTTGATTTCGTGCATGCCCAACAATGCCCAACAAAATCCAAAAGAAGTATAATAATGTTCACATAAACCCAGTAAAGTATGAGTTGAATGTGAGGTTCTTTCAGCGTTCTTGTCATGGACAGCTTCCACATCGGGCATGGAGCAAACTTTTTCCAAAATTGAGAGGAACCATTTGCATCGACACAGCGGTTCTGCAGACACGTTTCGCGGGTCCGTGCTGGGTTTGACTTCTCAGGAAGGAGCTTCCTTCAAGACCGACGAAGTTTTAGTTGAGGCTGCCCGAGTTTTGCATTCGCAAAACAGATGCTATGTGGCCAAAAACAAAACATCAGGTCGCAAGACGCGTTTTGATGCAGGAAGCAAGAAGCCAATTTCTGCACTGCCCGAAAACACAGAGGCAGCCTTCCTTCGAAAACGAAAAGCCGATCTGAAGGGTCTGACCAGAGGGGGCCAAGCGTCCTCTCGTGGTCTGACCGGAGGGGGCCAAGCGTCCTCTCTTGGTCTGACCAGAGGGGGCCAAGGTGAAGAAGGCAGAGACCCAGTCAGAGGCTACAAGTTCGATGCTGCAATGAAAAAGGAGGAAAAAAAGTGCCTCCAGGAAGTGAAAAAAAGGCGTGTGGAAGCCTTTGAAGACAATTTTCTTCTGGATTCCGAGAAGCCTAGCCGCAAGGACATCCAGAAACAGAAGGCAGAAGAGGCCAAGAACGACAGAGAGCGAATCAAGAAGCAGGCCTATGTGGACAACATGTGCAAGTTGGCACAGGAGAAGAAACCGATGCACTTCTTCTATGTTTTGCTGCAAGGACGCACTGCTTGGATCGACGACGAAGCTTCGCCTGAAGAACGTCAAGCGGCTGTGCAGGCTGGTCTGACCGCCTTGACTTCTTCTTTGGATGAGGCCAACGTGGCCTTTGTAACCAATAGCTCTCCAGAAAAACGTGCATTTTGGCACATGATGCTGCGAGGAGGGGCTGTAGTCGCCCGCGACTTCTTGACAGTGAAACGACATGTCTTTGTTTTGCAGTACAGGTCAGGAATCGAAATTCATCTGAAGTTGTTCATGAGTGATAATTTTAAAGCCAAGCACGTCCAGATCACTGCGTGCCTGCAACACCACATCCATGCAGAACCCACTTCCAAATGGGAGGAAATTGGCCAGAATCAGGCCAAAGTGGTTTTGTGTTTAGAAAATGAAAAACGCTCGTTCCGCAAACCAGGGGTGCGTGTGCACACAGCTGAAAGTTTTTTTGAGCGTTTGGCTACAATGACGCTCTTGACTGACAAGTCTGGGCGCTTAGGGTGATGCTGCTGCCGGGGATGATGACAGCAAGTCTCTTGAAAAAGTGCGTTAGCCAGTCTTCTTGCACCAATTCAATTCTGTGACTGACCGAGGGCCATGTTCAGTTATGACTGCATTGCTGTTTTTGTTCTGCTGTGTTAGACCAAGTAGTGCAAAATACAGCATTGAGCATTGGAAATTGAAACACCAAAAAGTTCAGTGGAGTTCCCGCGAACATGCAAACTTAACATTTTACATGTTCCATTTTGGGCGACGTTAAGTGTAGACCAATTTTGGCCC